ATTTTCAGAATAAAATGTGAGAATGAGTAATTTCTCGACAAATGACTTTTACCTAACCTTGTAACCCAAAAATCAACCTTATGTTTTGAAATCAGCTAACACGGTTGCTGCTTGCTTGTAATGTAAAAAGAGCTTTCTAAGCATGGGTTCCTCTTGCGACTCAAACATACAGTTTTAATCCACATTTTCAGAATAAAATGTGAGAATGAGTAATTTCTGGACAAATGACTTTTACCTAGCCTTGTAACCCAAAAATCAACTTTATGTTTTGAAATCAGGTAACATGGCCGCTGCTTGCTTATGTAAAATGAGCTTTCTAAGCATGGGTTCCTCTTGCGACTCAAACATACAGTTTTAATCCCTCATGATCCTTCCTTGCCCTTGACCCATGATGTATGTATGTGTGTAGGCTGTAGATTTCAAGGGGCCAGGCTACATCTCAAGCTGGCGGTAGAACTTGTCAGCGTTGTTCACATATACTGGTTTTGTAGGCATGAAAGATGTAAAGTTAAGAGGGTCATGGAATCTCGCTGTACAGTTTCAGAGAGCTGCTGAGGTCAGGCAAGCTGTAGCAGAGTCCAAATCAAGTAGGTCCTCAGAGACCACTGCGTGAAGCTGTAAAGATGAAGACTAAGTTGTACTAGAGACCTCAGGATGCTAGAGAGCCCAAGAAGGGGGACATCCACTGAGGAAACCAACAGGCCTGGAATGGAGCTAGCCACAGACAAAGGGAGTCAAGTAGGTCCTCAGAGACCACTGCGTGAAGCTGTAAATATGAAGCCTAAGTTGTACTAGAGACCTCAGGATGCTAGAGAGCCCAAGAAGGGGGACATCCACTGAGGAAACCAACAGGCCTGGAATGGAGCTAGCCACAGACAAAGGTCATGTGTTCCTCAGGCAGTAGAGCTGGAGGAGTGGAGCTAGTCAAGCCCTTTGGAGTCCAAAAGATTCCGTCATAAGTCCCAGATGTCTGACAGAGCTGTGGGATTTTGTGTTGGCCCTGCTGAGTTTCACTCTTGCTTTGGTCCGATCATTCCTTACTATGCTCCTATAGTATGCTCTTTTGAATGGGAATGTTTAATCTGTGCTACTATATATCAGAACGATGTACTTTTTTATTTTATAGGAACACAATGTTAAGAGATTTGATGTCTGTAGGACCAGAAACCACCCCAGGAACAGGTCTCCAGCTTATGTGAGAGCACAGAGTGCTGTGCAAACAACCCTCTGGCCTCTTCAGGACCAGAGACCCTCTGAACAGACTTCTGGCTTTTTCAGGAACAGAAAGCATCAGGGGAACAGACCTCCTGCTTTTGGGAGGCCAGATACTGCAGGGGGAACAGGGTTCAAGCTTCTGGAGGACCAGAAACTATGGCAGGAACGGGCTTCCATCTTCTCTGGGACCAGAGACCACCTGAACAGGCCTCTGGCTTCTGTAGGAACAGAAAGTGCCAAGCGAACAGGTCCTCGGCCTCTGTGGTATCAGAGGCCACATCAGGAACAGGTCTCTGTCTTCTGCAGAACCAAACAGCCCTGTACAATCAAGCCTCTGGCTTCTTCAGGACCAGAGACCGGCAAGAGAACAGACCTATGGCTTCCGAAAGACAAGAGAACTCAGCACAAACCTTTCTCCAACATCTCCTGGAACAGAGGGTCCCACCCTCAGAGGCCTCCAACTTCTGAGAGACCAGGGAGCACAGTGCAAATAGGCCATCCCCTGATTAGGGACCAGAGACCACCATGCAAACAGGCTTCTGACTTCTTCAGAACCAGAGAGCAGTGCACAAACAGGCTTCTGGCTTCTTCCAGACCAGAGAGTGCAGCACAAACAGGCCTACTAGAATCTACTAGGAAACTACTAGAATCTACTAGAATTTACTAGAAAACTAAATCTAGTAAACACTTGCAGTAAAAAGATACAAAATCAATGTAAGAAAAATAGTAGCCTCTTTTAAACCGACAATATGCTATCAGAAAAAGAAATTAGGGAAAAATCGTATTCAAACTAGCTAAAAATAATTACTTACTTAATTAATTAATAAAAACAAGTACCTAAGAATATACCCAGCCAAAGTAGAGAAAGACCTGTACAATGAAAACTTAAAGACAATGAAGAGGGAAATCAAAAGATGCTATAAAATGGAAAGAACTTCTATTCTCCTGGATTGGCCGAATTAATGTTGTGAAAATGGGTATACAACAAAATTAGTCTACAGACTTAATGCAGTACCTGTCAAAATTCCAATTCCATGTTTCACAGAGCTAGAAAAAGCAATGCAAGAATTCATATGAAATCACAAAAGATCACAAATGACCAAAGCAGTCCTAAGGGGTAAGACAGAGCTGGAGGCCTCAAATCATACCGCAGAGCTATAGTGAAAAAGCAAGCTTGGTACTGGCATAAAAATAGACAGGTAGGCCAATGGAACAGAATAGGGGACCCAGAATTAACACATAAAACTATGTCCTGTGCCCACCTAATTCTTGGCAAAAGAGGCAAAAATATACATTTGATAAAAGATAATCTATTCAATAATGATGTTGGCAAAACTGGATATATACCTGCAGAAGAATGAGATTACCTTCACATCTTCCACTTCCTACAAAAACCAACTCAAAGTTAATCAAACACCTAAATTTATAATCTGAAACCCTGAAATTTCTAGATGAGAACATAAAGAAAAATCCTCAGCACATTGGGGTAGGCAAGAACTTTCTGAACGGAACCACAACATCAAAGGAACTAGCCCAAAATTTCCACAGATGGAACTACATGAAACTGCAGTGTCTATGCCACAAAGGAAATAGCAGTGCACACAGACAGCACTGAGAATGGGAGAAAATCTTTACAGCTATACATCAGAACAAGGGACTAATACCCAGAATTTTAAAAGAACTATATAAATTAAATACAAAGGAAATAAAACTCTGAGCCACAAATTGGGTAATGAATTAAACAGCCAGTTTTCAGGAAAAGAAATACCAGTGACCAACCAATAACTTTTTAAAAAGTGCTCATGTTGGGTATGGGAGCACATGTCTTTAATCCCAGCACTTAGGGGGCAGAGGTAGATGAATCCCTGTGAGATCGAGGCCAGTCTGGACTACATAGCAACTTGCAGATCTATTGGGGCTACAGGGAGACCCTGTCTCCAAAAACCAAAACAAAACAAAAACCAAAACAAAACAAGAAACAAACAACCGGTTACTACCCGTAGACATCAGAGAAATCCAGACAATAATCCTCAGCACATTGGGGTAGGCAAGAACTTTCTGAATGGAACCACAACATCAAAGGAACTAGCCCAAAGTTTCCACAGATGGAACTATATGAAACTGCAGTATCTATGCCACAAAGGAAATAGCAGTGCACACAGACAGCACTGAGAATGGGAGAAAATCTTTACAGCTATACATCAGAATAAGGGACTAATACCCAGAAGTTTAAAAGAACTATATAAATTAAATACAAAGGAAATAAAACTCTGAACCACAAATTGGGTAATGAATTAAACAGCCAGTTTTCAGGAAAAGAAATACCAGTGACCAACCAATAACTTTTTAAAAAGT